ATTTTTGAGACAGAGACAGAGCATGAACAGGGGAGGGGCAGAGAGAGAAGGAGACACAGAATCGGAATCAGGCTCCAGGCTCTGAGCTGTCAGCACAGAGCCCCATGCGGGGCTCGAACTCACGGACTGTGAGATCATGACCTGAGCCGAAGTCAGACGCTTAACCGACTGAGCCACCCAGGCGCCCCTGGGTTTCCGTTTTTTATTTACCCTCGGCCAAATGAGCTACTTGACTTCTCTATAATTCCCTGGACTTGTCTACAGAAGAGGGATTATCCTTTGTTTGTCTCGTAGCTTACTTCCTAGGATTCTGGAAGAATTAATATACTTTGCACCCCCGTACAAGGCTGCTATGGCAACGAGAGCCCCGTGGACCACATCTAGCCCTGACACATTAGAACAAGAGAGACCAAACCCAGCAGAGACTCGGGGAACAACGCGCGTGCAGTTGCCAATGGCGTCATGGGCTGGCTCAGCCTTTCAGAGGAGAAAGCTGGAAGCATGTTGCCAGTGCTACTAAAGCTTGTCCCTCTGGACTTATTGATTCCACTTTGGGAAACACATCTCAAGGAAGTTACACCTGTTCCTCTCCCCTGGTTCTAAAAGAGACAGGGACAAAAACTTTCAACACTAAGAAATGAAACAGCCTACCTATCTCTAAAGAGATTGGGGCACCTTCACACAAAAGGATGAGGTAAAACGACAGGTGGGACCGTGTGGCTGTGGGTCACATGTGGGGCCATACGCTCAGTCTTCCCATCTGGAGCATGGGAATGACAACCGGGCCTATCCTGCGTAGATGTGTCAGGAGCTAATGAGTTCACGCATGAAAAGCACTCAGAACGGTGTGGGGCACAGAAGAAACACTCACTAAGTGTTTCCCATGATGAGCATGATGATGTCACCAAAAGTGAAAAGGGGTAAAGGGACAATGTAAAAGAGCACGTACGCATTGATTAGAACAATGGTGTCGGGTACTCATCATTTCTAGAATCGAATCCAGAGGAACGGAAGGTTGCAGTGTTCGGTAGGCAAACTTTGTTCTCCCCAGCTTCACTGAGACTTGATGGACACACAACACTGTGTACCTTTAGGATGTGTTGATTTGATATACTTATATATTACAATATGATTACTACCACAGTGTTAGCTAACACGCCCATCATGTCACATAATTACCATTTCTTTTTTGCGGCAAGAACATTTAACATCTATTCTCTCGGCAACTTTCAAGGGTACAGTTGAGTACTGTGATCTGTAATCACAATGCTGGGCATCAGATCCCCAGAACGTGTTCATCTTCTAAATGAAGTCTGTACTCTTGACCAACACCTCCCCACTTCCCCCAACCTTCAGCCCCTGGTGACCATCATTCCACTGTCTGTTTCTATGACTTCACTAGATTCCTTTTTTCCCCCTTTACATTCATAATTGGTGAGAAAATAAAAGAAAGAATGAATATCTCTCAAACAAACTGGCAATCGTTCTGAAGACAGGTTTAGCAATTTCCGCTAAATAATTCTCTGGCTGAAGCCAAGGCCACTGATTGATTTCTGAGTAAACCAGCAAATCCCATGAGGATTGGAAATGCTGGACGCCCAACCCTCCTGGCTTTACAGCTCAACTGCCTATAGTCAGCTAGGGCGGAACCAGGTCTAACAGTGGACTCAGCTGAAGTCCCAAGGTCTGTCCATTCTACCATGCTGCACGACACTCTGTGGCTTCCCCAAATTAGGGGTTTCACCCAACTTGCCACATGCTTCCTGTGTAACTCAGTAGACAAACATGTCCTTGGTGATGATTTCTATTTCTAATCCAACACAAGGGAAGATCTCTTACTCTTGAGAGGAGGCCCGCTTTGAGCCTGCGGCAGAAGACGTACATTAAATATACCTGGATAGTAGGGGACTCCACTGGGCATATAATTGGAGCTTCTTTTGGGGGGGATGCTGGCATTTAAAAAGCTGGCCTTGGTCCAAGCACACCTTCTCTTCCCACCTCTGTCACTGGCTCCCTTCTTGTCTGTTCCCATTCTGCAGCTGGGCTGAGGTCCTTACTCATCGCAGAACCTTCCAGTGGCTTCACTTTTTGCACTAAGAGAAATGTCTAAATTCCTTACCACGGCATTTGCTCATGCCTCCCCTCCCCTCAATGGCTCTTCCTCTCCCCACTCACTCACCTAAGTCCCATTCATCTTTTGGGCCTCAGCTTATGTCACTTCCTCAGGGAAATGTCTTAGTCTAGGCTAGCTCTGTGGATGAAATACTCACCCTGTGCTTCTTCTTACCACTCAGAATTACTCGTTCTGTATCTGTTTCTCCCCCCGGCTTAGGAATTCAGGCAGGCAGCCCTGTCTGAATTATGCCCACTGTCTTTGCCCAGTGCCAGGCACATATATATTTGTGGGATGTATGGCCATATACGCATGTAAATGAAAGAAGAATGAATGAATGAATGAAGACGGAAGGGAGAGGACTGAAGGGCTTAGGCCATCTCCCCTCCCCTGAATGAATGACTCATCTGGAATTTCAGCGTTATGCAGGGAAGGTGTGGTGGGTCAGGCGTCATCCAGAAAGCCTCTGAAATCACACCAATTAGGCGACTTAGGGACAGGTTAAATGCTCCGAAACAAGCCAGAGCTCACCAAAGGCAGCCTGCAGAGGCTCTGAGGGACACTTACCTGCACCATCTGTGTGGCTCTTATTGGCTGTGGATTTCATCATTTTCTCGCTGAATAAAAGAAAAAGAGAGTCAGCTATACAGTTTCCCAAATGCCCTTTTTCTCCCCCCCTTCCATTGACTATTCTAAGCAATCAGCAGCAGCTAGTGATGGTATTAAGCAATGTGTTTTAGCATCAGCGTCACTATCGGCCGGGATGGAAGAGGCTTCCCAGGTATGCGTCTGACACTGCCGGTGGAATGCGGCTGAGGCACGCTCACGACTTTCGGATGAGGTGGATGTGGAGACGTGTGGATGGCGCTGGCAGGCACTGCACAGTGGTCCATGAAGCCACATGCACTCTGGGAAACCCACCTACCCTCCTTGGGCCAAAGTGTTACCTTCGACCAAGAATTACCGGAAGGAAAAACAAACAAACACACACACAAACCACGATTCATAGAGATGTGCATATTTTCAGCCTTGAGATGATTACAAGGAAACGGATTTGAATGAAGGAATGATCTTAATGATTAAAGAGAAACAGATCGAATTATCTGTAATTGGTTTGCTTTCTTCTTTTTACCTAGACGCATCTTTGCTATTACTCGTAATGGGCCCTTTAAAAAGCGCAGACTGAACAAGACCAGTTAAACTGGCAATCTGTTTCTCCATGGCTTGCATCCTCTCTCTGGAAAACAAGAGAATGGTTTGTTAAAGCTATATTGGCTTTCAGACTGGTTTGTCTGGGTGAATGATCACCTGAGGGTTATAAAACGTACCACTTAGGAGGCTGGCAAAGTTCACCCCATCCTGGCTGGGGGAATGTTGCAGAGCCGACAAAGCCCTGCTGAGTTCAAGAGTCGATGATCAGAGGTTAATATTAACTCAGTGATCTCACTGAGAAAACACCGGTCAGATGAGAAAGAGGCCTTCTGGAAAATCGAACAGCGCCTCCTTCGGAAATGATTCTGTGTGCGCGTCGTGTTTTTGAGGCTTTCTGCCCTGCTTTCGCTATTTTCTCTCTGGCACCAGCGGTGTCCCAGGCCAGCTGTGGCCTAGTGGCACAGACTTCCAAGCTGTCCTCGTCAGCTGGGAGGCTGCTGCCTGATGTTGGTGTCAATGACAGAGATGTTTGTGGAGAGTGGAGTGATACTTGTTTCATAGCCCAAAAGCAACACACTTGAATGTCTTTTAAGGACAAACATGATTGGAATCAATCTCTTGACTTGGGGGTAGGGGATGCTCAATGTAATGTCATAGGAACCTTAACCCGGGGCCTTTTACAGGATCAAGTAGGAAGACAAATATCCCTAACAGCTTCGGTCAACTTAAGACACAAATGAAGAATCCCCTACACAGTTATGTCCCCTACACAGACACCGCACATTAGTGTTCGGGGCCCTTTCATGCTCCATCACAATTCATCGGGCCTTTGAAACAGGCTCACATTTCTGTACCTCAGACAATGGCAGTTTTACAGAATGATTAGCATTGTTTTCAATACATCATACACACGTCACCACAACAAAGTAACCTCTTCTGAGTAATGGGCAGCACAAATGTGAATTCAATTACCCTTATGTGGTAGCTTAAAACAATACAGGGAAGAGAGTTGAGAACAGTTTGAATAGTGTGGGCACTTCGCCTGCCAACATATCCCATCAGCAGATGTCAACTTGAGACAGAGAAGTGAACCCACTCTTCACTGTGGGTCTCCACCCCACAGACCTCGGTAGCGTTAGCAACAGTGATTCCTGTACTACAAATGGTATATGCGTACATCGTGACTTTTAAACACAAGCCAACTTCTTTATCTGGTACCCAATGGAAAAAAATCACTGTGGTCTGTTCCTCCTCTAGAAAAAAATAATCGGTTAAGTTGGACTAATTGAGAGATGATGTATCTGAATCTCAAAGTTCATGGCAATCAAGAGGATTTTTAAGGGTCATTTTGTCTAGACACAACCTTTAGGCCTTGCATTTTGCCTTGGGAGTATAACCTTTAGTGCGATATGAATCACTGAAGTTAATTTCCCAATTACGAGTTTCTGACTTCACAATTTCATGCATTTTCTTTAGCTTAAAATGGATTGTTCTGTCCCAAGGCTGAGTTTCTTGGATGTGAGTCATACAGTCTGACTTAGTTACCAGTTCTGAACATGATAAGGAAAAAAAAAAAAACCCAACTGATGTATTAATAATATGATCTCTTTGTTCTAATGGTATGGAGAGGAGAAATCTCAAATAGTCTGAGCCGAAATTCCATGGAAGGGCTTTCCAGGTATTTCCAGGCAGAGTAGTGAAGACCAAACATCAAAGCTGCAGAACATTTTGAGTCTTACACCTGTGCTCTTGGCCTCGTCTCTGCCATAAGACAGAACATGTGCCAAAGAGACAAGTTAGTAAGAAATTTCAGTCAAGAAAACAGGTTAGTAAATATCCAACGGAAATCCCAAGCTTATCAGACCCATATCGCAAAGAAAATATGGGTGGTGGTCGATCATGCTGCCTTCATGTGGGAGACACAGCCTTAGTCAAATGGGCTCGTGGGAAATGAATGACTCCCAGCAGCCCTGCTGAGCACTGGATGGAAGTCGTCCAGTGCCTCCATTCTTCCCACGGTAATGCTGGAGTCAAGCTCATGGCCCTAAGGGTGCAGGTGCATTCAGAACCACCTTGAGATGTACTAGCTTATTCAATTCTAGGAAAATGCAAAGGATTCCTTCCTTCCTTCTTTCCTTCCTTCCTCCCTCCCTCCCTTCCTTCCTTCCTCCCTCTCTCTTTTTTAAGTGGGATGACATTTTTAGAGTCTAGGCAGCTTTGGGTAGGGAGTGGCTTAAAACAGTCCGTGAAGCTGGAATGTGGGATAGGAAGGCGCAGTGACAACCTATCCAGACACGACGACAACAAAGTTAAGAAAGAGAAGAAAAAGGGGCCCCGTGGTGCTCAGTTGGTGAAGTGTCCAGGCTGTGATCTCATGCTTTGTGAGTTCGAGCCCTACATCGGGCTCTGTGCTGACACTTTAGAGCCTGAAGCCTGCTTTGGATTCTGTGCCTCCCTCTCTCTCTGCCCCTCTCCCACTCACGTTCTGTCTCTCTCTCTATCAAAAATAAATAAATATTTAAAAAAAAAAAGAAAGAGGAGAAACGGCTAAGTCTATGACTGTAGGGAATAAAGGAGAATCTGACAGGCGGAAATAGCATAAGAGATTCTAACATCACCCAACCTGATTAGGGCCCAATCAGTGTTCCCTCTGATCATTGCTCTCTAGTCACCACTTTCATTACCCAGTTTAACAAAGGAGGGCAGCAGCACAAAACAGCAAGCAAAGCACCTGAATCATTCCAGGTTCAGAACACTGCTCAGTCATCATCACGGGTAGAAGTGCAGAATGTTACAGCACAGGTTGGGTCCTCTCCACATGGGTGTCCATGGGGCTTCCTTCTTACACACCTTTGGCTTTTTCCTTGGCTCAGTGGGTACTTGGCTTCTCACTGGGCTCCCCCCTGACAAGGGTTTTAGGATACAGAGAAAGACAATACCTAACCAGCGCTCCATTCTTCTTTCCTCACAGAGACACGGTGCGATTAAGTCAAAATCGCAAAACTGCCTGGGGTAAGAGTTTGGGTACCGTGTAGCCCAGCCTCATACCCAGTCCTGGTACACACACACTTGGTTCTCCCTTTCGATCTGTGAGGATCTGTGAGGATGGTCGTGAATGCTCCCTCCAGGCTATGTCACTGGTGGGGCTACCAGGAAGGAGACATGATCTGTCAGAGCCTTGAGAGTTCAGAACACTTGAGCCTGATGGCCAAGAGGGAGCAATTCTCTCCCACTGTCCAGGAAACAGTGGGGAGGGTACACGACCGAGGCATCACACGGACTGATTGCACATGCGTGTCCCGCTGCCTCGGCCAAACCCGCTTTACAAAAATACAATTCTTTTGACACATGGTAATGAGAAAACTTTTTCCCTCCTATTTAATCATCAAAGTGTTTCTGGTTTCAGGATTCATTTGAGGGAGATTATCTGATTTATAAATTCATAAATAAGATTGTCTTTCCATTTCATGGTTGGTAATCTGGAAACAATTTTATGGTTTAACTAAATTACAGCAACTGGAAACTTATGCAGCCTTCTCCCATGATGAAATGTTATGAAGGATGTTTTAATGTGAAAAGGAAAAAAGAGAAATGCAGTGGAAGAAAAGAAATTAAATATGACCCTGTCATTTAATTGCAGTGGCAATTTTGTATGATAATCGTCAGAATATTAAAAATGCTTAAGCTAATTCCTGCCAATATTGCTTGGTTTAAGGTATTACAGAACTGGTATAATTACTGTTGAAAAGATGGTTTAAAAGTGATTTCATAAACCATTTTGTATCATTCCATAAACCATATTTATGTGATTAGGATGTATGGTTAACTAGTCATTTAGTGCCATAAAGTCAGCCTGGCTGAATGCATCTTCTTGGGACCCAAGCGTAATATTAATAAAAAATTCAGTCCAATCCAGGGAAAGTGCTGATTCCAGTATTTAAATTCCCTCTGCTACAACCAGCTTTCCCTGCAAACCCGTGTCTGCCTGTGATGAAGCAAAACCCTGACTGGGCACAGTCTGCTCTTGTCTTCAGTGAAGTTCAGGGAAGGAAAGAGTCTGCATTTGAGGGAGAGAGGGAGACACAGAATCCGAAGCAGGCTCCAGGCTCTGAGCGGTCAGCACAGAGCCAGATGCGGGGCTCAAACCCACAACCTGTGAGATCATGACCTGAGCTGAAGTTGGACCCTTAACTGACTGAGCCACCCAGGTGCCCCCATTTATACAACTTCTTGATTCAAATTTCCACCTTCGCCATTTTTTGCCTAGAGACTTGCCTTTAGGCTGACCGAGGCCTCGTTAAACCTGAATTAAGTCCTTATCATTGTACATCTAAGTAAATTAATGGCTATTAAAAAACAAGTCGGTGCGGCAACAACTAGGAGACTGGTAATTCCTCCATAATGAATCCCTAAGGATATGGTTTTAAATATCCAGAAGTGTCAGGGAGCTGATGGAAACCAGTCAGGCGAGCTGACGGGATCAGCCTCTGTCGGAGGCGCTCACCTTCCAAACCAGCTACCAACGCTGAAACCCACTGGTGCAGTCGAGTCAATTACAATGACATTAACCAGGGCTGTTCTTCTGGGAGTGCTTACCAGGTGGCCAATCAATTCATTTCTAGTTCTAATATTTTGTGATTATTTTTGTGTTGGTTCCTGCTCATCCCGTCATCTCTCTCTCCCCAGAAAGTCAGAAACACAGTCAACAAGTCACCAACAAATGTTTCTGAGCATTTAATATGTGCTAGGCACGGAGCAATCCGCTGTGAACACAGGGGTGAATAAAGTACCATCATTCCTTCACAAAGTCACTTTTTTTTTTCTTTTCTGGGAGAAATCTAAGTGAACTAAAACCCTTTAGTCTTGGCAGTGACAAAGGCATTTTCCAGAGCTGAACAGTGAACAGGCTTAAAGCTAGGCGATGCCCTTGTTTGCTCATGCCCTGATTCTCTGGTATGAGGGGGAAAAAAAACCCCAAAGTAATTAAAGACACTGTTTTCAGAAGAGTTCAACAGAACACTGGAATTCAAATTATCTGAATTTGTGGTAAAGCTTTTCAAATAGGACTCTGAGCAATGAACTTTC